ACTCTGTATCCCGTTGTACAGGTAACGTGTGTGTGTGTGATTTTAAACAGGGGTATGCACGGCTAGTCGGGTACCCGTGCTACCTGTCAGGACCTCGGCTAGTCGGGTACCCGTGCTACCTGTCAGGACCTCGGCTAGTCGGGTACCCGTGCTACCTGTCAGGACCTCGGCTAGTCGGGTACCCGTGCTACCTGTCAGGACCTCGGCTAGTCGGGTACCCGTGCTACCTGTCAGGACCTCGGCTAGTCGGGTACCCGTGCTACCTGTCAGGACCTCGGCTAGTCGGGTACCCGTGCTACCTGTCAGGACCTCGGCTAGTCGGGTACCCGTGCTACCTGTCAGGACCACGGCTAGTCGGGTACCCATGCTACCTCTCAGGACCTCGGCTAGTCGGGTACCCGTGCTACCTGTCAGGACCTCGGCTAGTCGGGTACCCGTGCTGCCTGTCAGGACCTCGGCTAGCACGGGTACCGAATAGTACCCGAAAACCCAAAGTCGCAGATGACATCATGTACAGGGCACGTGTACAAATTCACGCAATACTCCGCATGTCTACCCAGTGTGTAAGAGAAGGGGTGCATGCATTGTGGTGTTACCATGGAAACATTACCCGATCGGGTACCCGTGCTACCCGTGACAACTACCCGAATCCAATACCCGAAGAAAATGCTACCCGACTCAGCACTACTTTCCAGCCTTCCGTTGGTTTATAGGAGGAGGTTTCTCGAGCAGATTCAATCCTTCCCATTCACTCTCCAACAGGAGTGAACTTATAGTTTTGTAGGAGTTGCATTATTTGATAGAAAGTATATTTTTCACAGTTAAGAGGTTGTGGATATAGATTCCTAGGTTCGAACCCCAAGATGGGAGTGAGTGTGATTGCCTCCGGGGCCAGCTACGACATTTTCATCAATGAGTTATCACAAGTGACTATCAACCACCACGCCACACGGTTGCGCTGTCCGGCCGACCTCAACACGTTGCCACAGCACACCTGATGATCAGCAAAACGACACTTCAGTTGGTACTCTGCTCCTTCAGACAGCAGCTGTGTGGATCATCATGATCTCGTCAGTGAAAGCGGATAATGTAGAATGACTAGCAGATAGTGAACATCACCCTTATAGCAAAAGGGTGGGAAACCGATAATGGCGCATCTTTTAGTAACAAATATTAGGGCTAAGCAAAAAGAGACAGCGGTGTATTCAGCTGAGGGGAGGGCGCGGGTAATATTCATGACAGGGAACCCATGCGATACATGTATTTTGTACACATTACGACTGTTGGGCATAGCGGCCATTTTACGTCATAGGCTTAGCGGTTATGTAGAATTACTATTTTAGCACATGCACTCACTCCCACTTTTTCAACCACTTCATTGAGGACTCTGGCTGTAGTAGAACATAGCCGTACTACATTGAATTGTGTAAAGATAGTGCTTCAAAGCTCAAAACATGCTGAGATCGAGAACAATAATGCTGCGTAGCAGTACCACCCGCCACATTTGTGACAGTCACAACGTCGTCATCTGCGATAGTTTCAACAGGTAAACGCTCCTGACTCACATCGCTACTACTGACAGTCCCACCATGGTCGTCAGAATCTACTTCGGATTCCATTTGGGAAAGATCAGAGTCTGAGCAGACCTCGATCTCAGGGTCTTCGCTGTGGTCCAAATTCTCCTCCAAAGACGGATCGCTCGACTGAGCAGCTGACGAAGCGCAAGTTCGCTTTGCGAAAAATCCGTGGAGAGTTTGTTGGATCCCTGGCCGCTTGGGCGGGCAGTGCACTATCCCCTTCACCGATTTAGCTATATAAGTTGGTCAACTGAACACTAATTTCAAAACTAAAAGTCAACCAAAGTCTAAGAGAACAATTATTCCGTGTTCAGAAGAACTTTCTTATCTGACACTAGAAACTACTTGTCACAGCATGTGCAAACACTTGCGCAACTGCCCACGGGCATGCACTAAACAAAATCGAAATACTTGAGGTGAGGGCGCCCTCCCCTAGATGCGCGTCTGAAGAGATACTGTTATAGACTACTACACTGGGGATGATATAAAGCATGTCTGAAGAGATACTGTTATAGACCACTACACTGGGGATGATATAAAGCATGTCTGAAGAGATACTGTTCTAGACTACTACACTGGGGATGATATAAAGCATGTCTGAAGAGATATTGTTATAGACTACTACACTGGGGATGATATAAAGCATGTCTGAAGAGATACTGTTATAGACCACTACACTGGGGATGATATAAAGCATGTCTGAAGAGATATTGTTATAGACTACTACACTGGGGATGATATAAAGCATGTCTGAAGAGATACTGTTCTAGACTACTACACTGGGGATGATATAAAGCATGTCTGAAGAGATACTGTTATAGACTACTACACTGGGGATGATATAAAGCGTGTAAGTGATAGCACACTAATCTGTGGACAGCAACTGTTTCGTTCTGTTAGAGCTGCTCAGCACAGCTCAGAGGACCGAAGCGCAGCTCTTGGCAATGAAATACGTTTAAGTGATCGTATATGTACTGATAGACGGGTGTGACTTCGATAGGCGGCACAACATAGCAAACTGCACTGCCTCCTTGCTACAATGCTGTAGTTGCTATGTTGTCATGGTGATGTTGTCATGATGATATTGTTGCCATGCAGGTGTTTCCAACTGAAGTTGTTGTGTTGATACGGGACCACGACAACCACATGTACAAGACCTGGATTTTCTACTTCAGCAAGTTCTTCGCCGAGGTGAGGATTCTATTTTCTGTGTCGAGGTGTGTGTGTGTGTGTTTGTGTGTGTGTGTGTGTGTTTGTGTGTGTGTGTGCGTGGGTGTGTGTGAGAGTATGTGATGTGTGTGTTTGTGTGTTTGTGTGTGTGTGTGTGTGTGTGTGTGTGTGTTTGTGTGTTTGTGTGTGTGTGTTCGTGGTGTGTGTTAGCGTGGGTGGGGGTATTAGCGTGGGGTGTGTTAGAGTGGGTGGGAGTGTTCGCGTGGGTGGGAGTGTTCGCGTGGGTGGGAGTGTTCGCGTGGGTGGGGTGCTAGCGTGGGTGGATGTGTTAGCGTAGGTGTGTGTGTTAACGTGGGTGTGGGGTGTGTGTGGGGGGGGGGGGGCGTTAGCGTGGGTGTAGCGTTAGCAAGGGGTGCCAGCATTGGTGGTGGTGGTGGTGGTGGGGGGGGGGGGGGGATGTTAGTGTGCGTGTGTGTTAGTGGGGGGGGGGGGGTGCTAGCGTGAGTAGGGATGTTAGCGGGGGGGGGGGGGGGGTGTTAGCATGGCTGGGGGTGCTAGCATGGGTGGGGGTGCTAGCATGGGTGGGGGTGCTAGCATGGGTGGGGGTGTTAGCGTGGGTGGGGGTGTTAGCATGGGTGGAGGTGCTAGCATGGGTGGGGGTGTTAGCATGGGTGGGGGTGTTAGCGTGGGTGGCGGTGTTAGCGTGGGCGGCGGTGTTAGCATGGGTGGGGGTGTTAGCATGCCGGGGTGGGGGTGTTAGCGTGGGTGGGGGTGTTAGCGTGGGTGGGGGTGTTAGCGTGGGTGGGGGTGTTAGCATGGGTGGGTTGTTAGCGTGGGTGGGGGTGTTAGCATGGGTGGGGGTGTTAGCATGGGTGGAGGTGCTAGCATGGGTGGGGGGTGTTAGCATGGGTGGGGGTGTTAGCGTGGGTGGGGGTGTTAGCGTGGGTGGGGGTGTTAGCATGGGTGGGAGTGTTAGCATGGGTGGGAGTGTTCGCGTGGGTGGGAGTGTTCGCGTGGGTGGTGTGCTAGCGTGGGTGGATGTGTTAGCGTAGGTGTGTGTGTTAGCGTGGGTGTGGGGTGTGTGTGTGGGGGGGGGGGGCGTTAGCGTGGGTGTAGCGTTAGCAAGGGGTGCCAGCATTGGTGGTGGTGGTGGTGGGGGGGGGGGATGTTAGTGTGCGTGTGTGTTAGGGGGGGGGGGGGGTGCTAGCGTGAGTAGGGATGTTAGCGGGGGGGGGGGGGGGTGTTAGCATGGCTGGGGGTGCTAGCATGGGTGGGGGTGCTAGCATGGGTGGGGGTGCTAGCATGGGTGGGGTGTTAGCGTGGGTGGCGGTGTTAGCGTGGGTGGCGGTGTTAGCATGGGTGGCGGTGTTAGCATGGGTGGGGGTGTTAGCGTGGGTGGGGGTGTTAGCGTGGGTGGGGGTGTTAGCGTGGGTGGGGGTGTTAGCATGGGTGGGGGTGTTAGCATGGGTGGGGGTGTTAGCATGGGTGGAGGTGCTAGCATGGGTGGGGGTGTTAGCATGGGTGGGGGTGTTAGCGTGGGTGGGGGTGTTAGCGTGGGTGGGGGTGTTAGCATGGGTGGGGGTGTTAGCGTGGGTGGGGGTGTTAGCGTGGGTGGGGGTGTTAGCGTGGGTGGGGGTGTTAGCGTGGGTGGGGGTGTTAGCGTGGGTGGGGGTGTTAGCATGGGTGGGGGTGTTAGCGTGGGTGTGTGTGTTAGCGTGGGTGGGGGTGTTAGCATGGGTGGGGGTGTTAGCGTGGGTGGGGGTGTTAGCGTGGGTGGGGGTGTTAGCATGGGGGGGGGGTGTTAGCGTGGGTGGGGGTGTTAGCGTGGGTGGGGGTGTTAGCGTGGGTGGGGGTGTTAGCGTGGGTGGGGGTGTTAGCGTGGGTGTGTGTGTTAGCGTGGGTGGGGGTGTTAGCATGGGTGGGGGTGTTAGCGTGGGTGTGTGTGTTAGCGTGGGTGGGGGTGTTAGCATGGGTGGGGGTGTTAGCGTGGGTGGGGGTGTTAGCATGGGTGGGGGTGTTAGCGTGGGTGGGGGTGTTAGCATGGCTGGGTACATGCACAGATATGCATGCATACACAATATGCAAGTGTGAGAAATGGTGTATTACGTAACAATGTTGTCAGCGCTGGTGGTGGTGCTAGTACATAACAATGATAGGTCTCCGCGTATACAGCCAATCCTTCGTCTCCACAAACTCCATCCGCTAGAGTCCATTTGGGAAAACACTATGTGTTGGGTTTGCCAAAGAAATGCA